TTAGTAAATGTCATGTCTTCTTGACAGACTGTTCCCTTTACCATTATATAATGACCATCTTTGTCTCGTTAGTTTTTTGACTTGAAGTCTATTTTTGTCTAAGTATGGCTACACCTGCTTTCTTTTGGCTGCCATTTGCTTGGAGTATCATCTTCCATCTCTTTACAATGAGCCTGTATTTGTCTTTAGAGCTGAGTATCCCAGAGGCAACAAATAGTTGGGTCTTATTTTTTAATCCATCTGGTCACTGTTTCTTTTGATTGAATTCAATCCATTTACATTTCGGATGATTAGTGACATATGAAGACTTAGTACTGCCATTTATTTATCATTTTCTGGTTGCTCTCTATCTTCATTGTTTCTTTTTTCTTGTGTTTGTGTCTGCCATTTTAGTTTGGTGTTCTTGGGGGTTTTTTTAAGATTTTTTTATTTTTAATATTTATTTATTTGGTTGCAGCTCACCGGCTCCTTAGTTGTGGCATGCGAACTCTTAGTTGTGGCATGAATGTGGGATCTAGTTCCCTGACCAGGGATCGAACCCAGGCCCCATGCATTGGGAGTGCAGAATCTTATCCACTACACCACCAGAGCAGTCCCAGTTTGGTGTTTTTCTGTGATGTTTTGCTCAGTTTTCTCTTTTTTATGTTTCATGTTTCTGCTCTAGATTTTTTGTTTTGTGGTTATCATAAGGTTTGTATAAAACATCTCATAGATAAGATAGTCCTTTTTATGCTGATAGTATCATATCTTCATTTGCCTATACAGTTCCATCCTTTCCCTCTTCCCCTTTTATGTTTCTTTTTTCCCCTTTTATGTTTTTGTTGTCACATATTATCCCTTATTATGTTGTGAGTTAATTACCAAGTTGAAGTAGCTAGTTATTTTTAATGCTTTTTTTCCCTTTAATCTTTATGTCACAATTGTGTTTAACAACCTATTCTGACACAGAGCTGTACTTTCTGATTCTATCTATTTATCACCTTACTCGAAGTTTTGTGTACTTTTGCTTTTCCATTTCAGGTAGAAGAGCTCCTTTCAACATTTCTTATAAGACAGGTATAATGGTGATAAATTGCCTTAGCTTTTGTTTGTGTGGGCAAGCCTTTATTTCTCCTTCATATGAAGGACGACTTTGCCAGATAGACTATTCTTGGCTGACATTTTTTATCTTTCAGTATTCTGGGTATGTCATCACACTCTCTCCCAGACAATAGAGTTTCTGATGAGAAATCTGCTGAAAGCCCAATGGGGGGGTACCTTTGTAGGTTACTATCTTTTTTCCCCTGGCTGCCTTTAAAATTCTTTCCTTATCATTGACTTTTGACAGTGCATCAGCGGGATCACATGCCCTGCTGCATGGTCCCCTGTGGCTGCAGGTGCCATTGCAGCTGGAAGGCCAGAGTCATGTGCACTGCCTCCACTGCTGTTACTGCATTCTCTGGGGCTGTGGACTCAGTCACCATGGCCAGGGGCTGGAGTTGCAGGTACCACCTCCACTGTTCCCCTGGTTCCACCTCCTCTATGTGCCCGGTCCAGTCACCTTCAGATGTAAAAATGTGTGGATCTCTTCAGCATCCTGTTCTGTTAGGCAAAGGAAACTTTGTTGAGTTGTTTTACTAGTTATAGACTGAAGGGGAAAGAAGGGATCATCTCATGCTACCATGATCCTGACGCTGCTCTCCAGGAAACTACTGCTTTTTATTGAACATTCTTCTATTAGCTTTGTTTTGTGCTTTGTTTTTCACTTTTCTTAGGTATACCTGCATTACTTTGACTTCTAAAGTTATTCCAATGTATAAAAAATACTGATGTTAAAATTATTTGAAAACAATAATGCAATATGCAACAAAAGTCACAGAAATATGCATACCCTTTGACCAAGCAATTTTGCTCCCAGGAATTTATCCTAATTAAATAATTGCACATCTGCATTACAGTGTACAAATAAGAATATTAAGCAGTGTTGTTTATAATAGCAAAAAAACTAAAAATAATATATGAGTAAAAGGTTGGTTAATAAATCATGGTATATACAAAAACTGAAATACTATGCATCTATTAAAATTAATAATGTAGATTCTTTTATTGATACGAAAAGACAATCACAATATACCACTGTATGAAAAAGAGGTTTCAAGACTACATTTAGCAAGACTTCAATTTTGAAGTTTAAATGTACAGAAAGGTAAAGAAGCATGTGCATACTCATATGTACACACAAGCACAAGCACACACAGACACACACACACAGAGTCTAAAAATTATGCTAAAATGTTATACCATCTAGGAAATGGTATTAAGGTTGAATTTTTATTTTAAGTAGTTTTCTGTATCATCTGAGTTATTTGCATATGGTACTTTATAACCTGAAAAAAAAAACTGTCTAGTTTGAAAAATAACGTCCATATACTTTGACTCTACAACTCCACATGCAGAAATTGATTTTTAAAAAATAACAGGATGGGGCTTCCCTGGTGGCGCAGTGGCTAAGAATCTGCCTGCCAATGCAGGGGACATGGGTTTGAGCCCTGGTCCAGGAAGATCCCACATGCCATGAAGCAACTAAGCCCATGCTCCACAACTACTGAGCCTGCACTCTAGAACCTGTGAGCCACAACTATTGAGCCCGCATGCCACAACTACTGAAGCCTGCATGCCTAGAGCCTGTGCTCCGCAACAAGAGAAGACTCCACAATGAGAACCCGTGCACCGCAACAAACAGTAGCCCCCACTCGCCACAACTAGAGAAAGCCAGCACTCAGCAATGAAGACTCAACACAGCCAAAAATTAATTAATTAATTTTAAAATAAATAACAGGATGAATATAAAGCTGTCCATACAAGAAAATTTATGGTAAAGTTATAGAAAAAGCAAGAAATAACATTCTGTACTCTATTGGTCAAGGTCCAGTCAAGGGATTAAAAAACATAGCAATTATTTTAACAAAGAGAATTTTTTTAACAAAGAGAATTTAATATAAAAAAAAGTAAACTAAGGGCTTTCCTGGTGGCACAGTGGTTGAGAGTCCGCCTGCTGATGCAGGGGACACGGGTTCTTGCCCCGGAGCAGCTGGGCCCGTGAGCCATGGCCACTGAGCCTGCGCGTCTGGAGCCTGTGCTCCGCAATGGAAGAGGCCACAACAGTGAGAGGCCCGTGTACCGCAAAAAATAAAAGAAAAAGTAAACTAAGTGAAAACGAAGGCAAAAAAAGGAACACCAAAGTATCAAAATAACAGAAAATAACAAGTGTTGGCAAGGAGGAAGAGAAACTGGAACCCTTATGCACAGCTAGTGGAAATGTAAAATAGAGCAGCCACTAAGGAAAACAATATGGTGGTTCCTCAAAAAATTAAAAATAAAATTACCATATGATCCAGTAATTCCACTTTCAGTATATACCCCAAAGAATTAAAAGCAGGAATTGAACTGATATGTGTACACCCATGTTCACAGCAGTATTATTTTTAATAGCCAAAAGGTAAAAGCAATCCAAGTGTTCACTGATGGATGAAAAAATAAACAAAATGGTGTCTACACACACAATGGACTATATTCAGACACAAGAAGGAAATTTTGACACATGCTATTGATACAACATAGGTGAATCTTGAGAAATTATGCTAAGTGAAATGAGCCAGTCACAAAAGAACAAATACTGTATGATTTCACTTATATGAGGTGTCGATCCACAGTTGGTTGAATCCATAGATGCAGAACCTGCAGATCCAGAGGGCTGACTACACAACACCATTTTATATAAGGGACTTGAGCATCCACAGATTCTGGTATCCACAGAGTGTCCTGGAACCAATCCCCCACAGACACCAAGGGACAACTGTATAAGAATAATTCAATGTCACCTCATGTTCCTACAGGGTTTTTCTATTTGCTTCATCGGTTAGAGTTTGAGTTGTTGTTCTGTGCTGTTTTTTCATGAAAGAAAGGAGTAAATGCATTCTGAGTTAACAAAACCACAGCAAGAACATGAAAAAACAGGTGACCTGAAAGGTCTGCAGTTTGGCCTGCCATGTTCCTCTCGGTGGCACTCGGGCTCACACGGCCTGCCTCACCACCCAGTGGGGAAGACATATAAGGAATGTACCTAAGACAGCTGTGCAGAATGGAGCTGGAGGAGCCTTATTTGTGCAGAGAGATACTCCTGAGAATAACCCAGATACTCCATTTGATTTCACACCAGAAAACTATAAGAGGATAGAGGCCATTGTAAAAAACTACCCAGAAGGGCATAAAGCAGCAGCTGTGCTTCCAGTCCTGGATTTAGCCCAAAGACAGAATGGATGGCTGCCCATCTCTGCTATGAACAAGGCTGCAGAAGTTTTATAAATACCTCCAATGAGAGTATATGAAATAGCAACTTTTTATACAATGTATAATAGAAAGCCAGTTGAAAGTATCATATTCAAGTCTGCACTACTATACCTTGCATGCTTCGAAATTCTGACAGCATACTGGAGACCACTCAGAAAAAGCTTGGAATAAAGGTTGGGGAGACTACACCTGACAAACTTTTCACTCTTATAGAAGTGGAATGTTTAGGGGCCTGTGTAAATGCACCAATGATTCAAATAAATGACAACTACTATGAGGATCTGACACTTAAGGATATTGAAGAAATTACTGATGAATCCAAAGCTGGCAAAATCCCAAAATCTGAACCAAGGAGTGGACGATTCTCATGTGAGCCAGCCAGAGGTCTTACTTCTTTGACTGAACCACCTAAAGGACTTGGCTTTGGTGTGCAAGCAGGCCTTTAATTTATATTCAATAGCAAATATGTCACTGGAGAAATAAAATAGGAATCTCCTATCTTAAAAAAAAAAAAAGAACATGAAAAAACAACTTCAATTGCTTGAGGCATGATAGGAATTATCTTAATAAGGGGCTTCTGACTTCATGGTACAGTGTTTCAGTGTTCAGTATATATACATAATTAGCTAATCATCACTTTTCAAAATCACAATTTCAAAATAATCACTTACCAAACACTATTCCTTTAGCAAATGGAGGAAACAATTCTGAACGTCGGAATAAGTTTTTGTGAATTTGCCATAGTTCTTTGTGTAGTTTCTTAAAGTCACTGTATCTCTTCCATACAATTATCTAAAGAGAGAAGATAATTAAATGTGTAACTCACAGTGAAACCACAGATATCTGAAAAACAAATAATCTTTTTATTCAAGTGCTCAAAATTGTCATGCAAAGGCAAACATATATGTTCTAACCAATATGGTTAACTGTCTAAAATTAACTAATAATATTTTATTTAAAAATATAAAGCAGCAATTCTTCCTCAAACTGTTCTGTTTGGGTTTTTTAATTTCATTTTAAACAAGTACTATTTTCTTCATACTAGAAAAATATCAACCTGGTACAAAAAAGGCTTACACTACATAAAATGTCACTTAACCTCTTCAAACATTAATTACTATTACCCTGGAAACGAGTTAGATGTCAAAATATATATTCATCTCAAAAACAGCATGTTTATAAACACAAAGTAGTTTAGACAATTTTTAAACATAAAAAACATACTCAGCACTTGCCTAAAAGAATAATCTGAAAAACACTGAAAAAAAATGGCTTTGTAGCAAATAATTAACCTAAACTTTTGCATTTCATAAACCTCAATAAAAATAGTAACAAGATTTCTGGAGGCAAGGTAAATCCTGATCAGAATACCACTAAAATTAGGATATTTCAAAAAACAAAATAACAATCATTTAGATTATACAACATGTAAAAGTTTACTTTCATTAGTTTAAATTATTGTCTAAACTTATTTAGATTAAATTAGAAAGAAAAAAACACTTAATAAAAAGAATTTGACACATGGCCTTGATGTCGCTGATTCAGCCCCTCAGTTGCCACAAAATAGGGTAAAACTGAGCTTTTAATTCCATTACCTGGTATATTGGGGCCTTTACTTCTGAAAAACCTAATTATTTCACTTCTAACAAACTCAATAGTGTAATGCTAATAAGCAAATCTTAGGCCAAAGAGGTAACCAAGTGTGATTTAAGAGACCTGTCAAAAAATCTACTCCTGTATATAAGAAATTCTTCACTAAACTCTGCCATACTATCAAAACTTCTACCATGATTACTAAGTGTCTTGCTTTAATAAAGGAAACTTGCTTTTAATCCTAGGAGACTAGTCAGACTATAATATGAATTAATTTAAACAAACTGCTTCCTCCTTATCCTTCCTTTTATTCATTTACTTGACAACAAAAATAGTCATCAAAACAAATATTTTCATGAGCCTACCTTATGCTAGGCACTGTGTTGGCACAAAGGATGAAGAAATGAGAAACAAACTCCCTCCTTTAAAGAGTTCCCTGTCAAATTAGGAAGAATAAGCCAACACAATAACTACATCACAAGACAGCATGATAAATGCTTAAAACAGTAGCTCAAGCGTATTATGGAAGGAGCACCTACACAAAGTACTGACTTAGGTGGGCACACTGAAGGGACATAATAGCTAGAACAACAACAAAAAAGACAGAGAGAGAGAAGTGGTTGGGAATGAAGTATTTAAAAGGAGAGTGAGATGCCAAATATAATTACTAAAATTTTGGCTTTTGCAACTAGATAAATAGTAGTGCTATTCCCTAAGGTAAAGAGCAAAGGAGAAAACGCTGTTTTGAGATAAGAACGAAGTTCAATTTTAGACATATTTTATTTAGGTGCATGTGAGGCATTTAATTGGAGTTGTCCAATAGAAAAGACAGGTTTGGAGTTCAAGAGCAAAAACTAAACAAGAGGTATTAACTGGGAAGTCATCGGGAGAGAGGTGGTAATCACTCAGAAAACATTTCTCAGCATTTCTAACAAGATGAGGAATCTAACAACTGAATGATGGGGGTCAGGCAGAAGTAAAGAAGAAACCAAGCACAAAGTAAGTATTTAAGAAGCTCAGCTATGCCATGACACATGACACCTGGATGGAAGAAAAGATTTTATTTTAAATGGAAGTAAACAAGACAAATGCTGACAGCAGAAAATCAACAGTTCCAGTAAAAGACAGAGTAAGAGGAACTAACTGAGAGAGCCAAACCAACACTCGAAAAGTAAAAGGTCTCAGGACAGTGAGATTACAAGTGATTTTAATTTTCATATCTTGCTTCTTTGTAGTTTCTAATTTTGATACATTAACATAATTTTGTCACGGGAAAATAGTGTTATTTTTATATTTTTTAAATAGATCAAATTATGGTGCTACCACACTTGCCAAGGGCTTAAGGGGGAAATGGGTGGTGGGCTCATGACAATAATCTTTTCTTTTTTTTTTTTGTCTGTGTTAGGTCTTTGTTTCCACGCGGGGGCTTTCTCTAGTTGTGGCAAGTGGGGACTACCCTTCGTTGCGGTGCGCAGGCTTCTCACTGAGGTGGCTTCTCTTGTTGCGGAGCACGGGCTCTAGGTGCACGGGCTTCAGTAGTTGTAGCACGCAGGCTCAGTAGTTGTGGCACGCGGGCTCAGTAGTTGAGGCTCGCGGGCTCTAGAGCACAGGCTCAGTAGTTGTGGCGCACGGGCTTAGTTGCTCTGTGGCACATGGGATCTTCCCGGACCAGGGCTCGAACCCGTGCCTACACTGGCAGATGGATTCTTAACCACTGCGCCACCAGCGAAGTCCTCATGACAGTAATCTTACATAAGGGAAATGCAATCCTTAAAGCCATTATAAACCAGACATGAGAACTATTCAAAAGACTGAAGCTCATGGAAACAATTAAATCTGCAGATAAAATTTATATTCTAGAGTCCGCCTGCCGATGCAGGGGATACGGGTTCGTGCCCCGGTCCGGGAAGATCCCACATGCCACGGAGCGGCTGGGCCCATGAGCCATGGCCGCTGAGCCTGCGCGTCCAGAGCCTGTGCTCCGCAACAGGAGAGGCCACAACAGTGAGAGGCCCGCGTACCGCAAAAAAAAAAAAAAAAAAAATCTATATTCTAGTTAGGGTCATTTTCAGATAAAGTCAGAGTAACTTAAAGGGCAAAAGTTAACAATTGAATCACAATAATAATAATAATAATACCATGGCATATAAACCAGTAGATAGTCTGTCATAGCAAAAATTAGAGAATCTGTGTTTCTTCACCATGCCCTAATTTATTCACTCATATATTCCTTATTCTGGACTCTAAGACTGTAGAAGTGAAATACCTAAGAGCAAATATAAACCCTCAAAAAAGGCAGGAAATCAAAGCATCCCAAAAATGTCACCATCTACTGCCTCCTTTTCTTCTTACTCCTTTTGAGCTTGGACATTTCTAGAAATCTTCAAAATGTAAATGTGAACAAAAGCACATGTCCATTACATCAGCAAGTATGGATGTCTATAACTGGACTATACAAAGTCCCAAAAGATACATGCAAAACATACTTTTTCTAATAATCAATTCTTTCCTATCAGGAAAAAAAAAGTTATATTAACAACTATTACCCTGCAGAACCAACCCTGCAGAAATTTCCTATTTATTATAGTTACTCTGAATAAAATTCCTCAATTAAATATTAGTTGTGACAATCATAATAGACTACAAATTTAATAAAAGCTTAATTTTCATTAAAAACACTGCCTTAAATACTTTTTACATAAAACAAATGCTTTCTTTTCAGATAATTTCTCTTAACGATACCAAAAACACTTTAGATCTTTTACAAAACCACTCAATTCAATTAACTTTGTCCTTTTTACTCTCATATAGTATTTAAAACTAGCTGGATCACCTTTTCCTGTAACATCACTACCATACTATCTGCTTACAGATTTTCTTTCCTCCCCTTTTGAAGAGCTTTTCCTTTCCCCTGACACATTTCCGAATGTGCTCAAATAGCTTTTCTAAAACTATTTATGAAATGACTTCAACGTTAGAGATTTCTGACATGATACATAGAAAGTTCTATTTTGATTCTCCTTTCCTACATTTCCCCAGTGAAATTTACTACCTAGAGAGAAACAGAGCTATAGGTTACTTTTTTTATTAAAGGTGGGGGGAGGAGGGCACAACATCTCCATCTTTTTCTTTACCTTCTGCAAGTGTTCAGAGCAGCGGTCCCCAAACTTTTTGGCACCAGGGACCAGTTTCGTGGAAGACACTTTTTCCACGGACTGCGGGGGCAGGGAGGGGGAGGCATGGGAGGGGTTCATGCGGTAACTCGAGCAATGGGGAGCGGCAGATGAAGCTTTGCTAGCTCACCTGCCACTCACCTCCTGCTGTGCAGCCCAGTTCCTAACAGACCACGGATCAGTACCAGTCCGTGGCCCAGGGCATTGGGGACCCCTGCTCTAGAGAAGCTACTGAACAAGAAGCCACATTAACTATTGCTGTCCCCCTTAAGATTCACCCATGCTGCTCTTAATAATAAAAATTTAGAGGGTATTTTTAAAAGATAAAAAGAAAAAACTATCCTGGATAATTTTAAATTATTTACTCCATGTGAGTGTTTTGGCACCCTTAGTAAGAAAATAGAGCTATCTGGTAGCATGCACCAAGGGGTGTGTGTGTGTGTGTGCATAAAAGAGCCAAATTTCTCCACTTTTATAAGGATACCATATTATTAGCCCTATACTTGCTTAGACAAGCAGTACATCTACTGATCTTCAATAGCACTTGTGAAGCATGACTAAATTCTAAGCAATAACTAAATGAATCTGTTAACAGAGAAAGAAAGTGAAAAAAAAGGAAATAGAAACTAATTCTAGGTGGTAAAATTCCTCTCCTAAATAAGAATTCCAATGTTTAAATGAAATACGTGGGAAACCAAAAAATGTTGCTATAACTTCAAGGTTATTTATACTTCAAGAAGCAAGCTAGACAGAAGACATTCTTTTCAAAATTTTATTCCATTTCTAACAAAGGACCATGCAATCATCTAACTAAAGGACACTTACAAGAGTTTTCTGATGAATGGTTCACCAACAGTTGTTATTATAAAAGAGATTTCCCCAAAAAAGGATTAAGGAAATGGCAGAGAGTATGTTCATGGATAGGTTGGTTCAGGATTCTCCCTGGAAAAGGGGAACATCAAGCTACAAACTACAGCACAGCAATCACAAACTACAGCACAGCAATCACTACAGCACAGAAACACAACCCATTTTCAATTCTAACAGAGTTGTAAATTTTCAAAAGCAGAATAGCCTGGAATTGACTATTAATTCAACATAATTAATAGAATTCTAAGGAATAGTTCATACTAATCAACTGACACTTAAGTAAAAACAGTACTTTATCAATCAAAGGTACAAGTTATTTTCACTGCCATTTTGAAAGGATAGAGATATATAGATACAGATCTAGACATAGATATAGATATAGCCTTTTCTTCCTAAATAACAATATTACAATATTCTCTTCCTGGCTATAGGTGGGGGGTGGGGTGAGATATCTTAAAACCCCTAAGGAAAAAGTATGAAATCATTTTAAAATGTGTCTTTTATTGAACTCTTTTTAACAACAGGACAAAAACAAGTATCAGATCAGATATAGCAAGTAATGGTAATATATAAAAGTTAAAATATTATCTAAATATGTGTCACAAATTCAAACCAACCGGCAGCAAACAATCAACTTAAATCTATGAATCAAGCCAGGTATGTACAGTAAGGAGTAGTGGGGCTTGTGGTTAAATAGATAGCATATAGCCCACCTGAAGACATTAAAATGCAATTAAGAAAATAACTTGCAGAATCAAGACTGCCAATTTACAACATCTGTTTTAAACACTTTAGTAGGAAGAAAAAAGAAAAAAAATATATATATATATGCTCTTCTAATCCTACTGTAAATAAGCAAGGACCAAAATGAAAGTAAATTTTAAAATGTTAAAAAAAAGCTAACTCCTCACAGTTAGGATTCCTAAAGGATATATAACAAGGATAAAGTAATTATAAATAGAGAATTCCACAGTTTTAAGCAAAAATATAACAAGCTGTTATTTCAGAAAGAGGGAAATAGTCTGTAAAAGAACTACAAAATTTTAAAAAGAAACATCTACACCCAAAGCTGTTTTCCAACATGCCAACTCAGTATAAAAATGAAAGTAAACGGAAACACATAATTTATTATTATGATCTTTAAAATTAGTACTAGTTACCAAATACTTTCTTTTTTTTTTTACCAAACAGGCATCATGATTTTGAAATAGGTAAAAAGGGGCCCTTAACTGATACTGAAATCTTATGAGTGGTAGTTATCAGAAAAATTATCACATTATTAAACGGCACTATAATTCCTGAAATTCTTATTTATATAACTTAACACCTACTGAAACTTAACATGTACTTAATAGGTCTGAAATAAGATACTTCAGCAATTGTTTAATGAATTGCAGACAATCTCCAGATAAACATACAAATACAAAAACTGACATACAAATAATTGTTTCCTCTATAAAGCATTTAATTAAATTTTTGTCAAATACATAAAATAAAAATTTTCATATGGATAAACATGTTACCTCCTGGACATCCTCTGGATTTCTTCGTGAAACAACCTAAAACAAAGCATACACATAAATCATTTCATTACTTTCAACAGAATTTGTATGAAAAATTCAATTTGCTTAAAGAAAAAGAAATACTATATTATATCACTTACACAGAAGTCAGTTATATAATAACTTCGGTATCTGAAACACATACTAAAAAATTAAGCAAAAAGGCAACTAAAATAAAGTCCACATGCTAAAGTTCATGTATTATTACATTCACAAGAGAATGCCTCATGCTTTCCCTCTTACTTGACATAATTCTAACAGCTTGTCTATCCCCCTTTCCAGCCTACATATAAATCAGAAGCATAAAAAGCAGCTGCACCTGGACAAAGTATACAAAAGGATAGCACTGCTTTTTTTCTTTTTTTTTATTTTTCGTTTTTTGGCTTTTTTCCTGTATTATTTCTTACAACTGTATGTGAATCTACAATTAGCTCAATAAAAATTTCAAGTTAAAAAAAAAACAGCAACCACAATGCTCCCATACACCACTATGTGTTAGAAGTAATCACTGAACCTCCTAATGGTGAAGAAGAAAACAAAAGTAACCCATAAAAAATTATATACATCATCCTCATCCTTAAGGAGCTCCTGGCTGAAGGCATAAAACAGTAAACATGATAAGATGGCCATTCTGTAAGTACAGACTGAGAGAGGAACAGGGATGCGTGTGCAAATAAGACAGACAGAAAAGGTCAGGGAAAACATCAAAGATGAAGGATGAGGGGGAGGAGAGGATTCCAGACACAAGAGAAGGAATGCTGGACAAGCTGGAATGCAAGGAGCTTTAGGGTCTTTTGCGAGCTGCATTTTACAGTTAAATTCAAATTTAAATTCCTAAGACTGACTGCATATGGGCCTTTAAGGTGTGATTGGCACCTGGCATCATCCCTTACTATCCTGCAAGGCCCTAGGACCTAACCCCATTACCTCTTGGACCCCCACCCCATCTTTCCACCCACACAGATCTCTTTTCCAGGAGGTCAAATTTATCAAGTGCATCCCCACCCCTACCTGAGGGCTACCATGCTCACTGTTCCCTTTGCCTGAAATGCTTTTCCCCTCAGTATTTTCATGGGTTGTTCCTTCATCTCTTTCAAATCTTTACCCAAATGTCAATTTCTCAGCGAGGACTTTTCTGTCCTTCCTATTTAAAATACAGCTCTACTCACACCTGGCATTCTCTATCCTTTTCCCCTGATTTATGGTTTTCAAAATATTATGCTATGTATTTTACTTGTTATCTATTTTGCAACCTGTGTGTAGGCAAGGACTTTTGTCTGTTTTGTTCACTGCTATACTCCCCTGGCCAGTAGTTGACTTGTGGTAAATATTCAGTAAATATTCAAGGATTAAATTTTAAAAATTATATACATCATTCGGGGACAAATAATCCTATCAATATTCCCTGAGCAAGCCAAAAAGTCTAACACCATTTACAAAAAGCCAAAAAGTCTAACACCATTTACAAAGAATTCCTCACAAAATTTACAAAAAAGAAGAAGGCTGGGTGCTTAAATCATCAAACAGCATTGTAGAGTAGGAAAATCTCACATTAGGTACATAATACCCTCTACGCAAACGTAAAAATCATGAATTTGATGCTACAGTGTGTATTTTGCAGACACAAACAAAAAGATACATCAAACATATTAAAATGGTTGCCTGTGGATGAGAGGAAAAAAGTCCTTGATGACTGGTGACAATGAACTGGGAGATTACGATCAACTCAACATTACTCCTGAGGTCCAAAACAAAAAGTATACTATTTAAAGTCAGACAAACCTGGGTTCAAATTATAGTTGCTCCACTTACAGGTTTGGTCTCCTCTGTAAAATGAGGATAATACTCCCTAGGTTTGATCTCCTCTGTAAAATGGGGATAATAGTCCCTGCCTGGCCTGGCTGTAATTGACATCAAATACGAACAGAGCAAGAACTCCATAATTAAAAAGTCATCTCCCTCTCTCTCTTACTAGAGAATTTAACACAAGAATGCTAACAGAGGGACTTCCCTGGTGGCAGAGTGATTAAGAATCTGCCTGCCAATGCAGGGGACACGGATTCGAACCCTGGTCCGGGAAGATCCCACATGCCACGAAGCAACTAAGCCCGTGCGCCACAACTACTGAGCCTGCACTCTAGAGCCTGTGAGCTGCAACTACTGAGCCTGCGTGCCACAACTACTGAAGTCCACACGCCTAGAGCCCGTGCTCCACAACAAGAGAAGCCACCACAATGAGAAGCCCACGCACCGCAACAAAGAGTACCCCCACTCGCTGCAACAAGAGAAACCCCGTGCGCAGCAATGAAGACCCAACACAGCCAAAAATAAATAAATAAATTTATAAATAAATAAATTTTTAAAAAGAATGCCAACAGAAAAGGTTTTCAATTTCTTGCCACTCTATTCTCCAATTTTTAGGATATAAAATTTGGCGAAATCTCTTAGCAATTTTCATTAATTTAGAACAGTGCTGTCCAATAGTACTTTGTCTGATGATGGAAGGAAATCTGCACTGTTCAACACAGTAGCCTCTGGCCACATGCTTCTGTGTGGCTACTGAGCACTTGAAATATGGCTACTGCAACTGAAGAACTTAATTTTTAATTTTATTTCATTTAAATTAAATTTAAATAGAAGTAGCCACATACGGCTAATGGCTACCATACTAAACAACACAGATTTAAAGTAAGAGGTTAGAAAGTTAACTAACAACCATATATTATTCAAGTACTGGATTTTAGCTATTACTTTCAAATTCCAACCCTCCCCAAAAAAACTTTCCAAAAGTTTTTGGAAACACACACACCTTTCCAAAAGTATGGTGTGTTTCACATAATTAAATGATTTAATTTTGCCTCCTATGATTTTTTCTTATATTTTTGTAAAATGTGGTAACGAGAAGAAAGTTAGAGATAATCAATCCACTAATATCCACCCACCAAAAATAATCAACATATGATCACTGGCAATAAGATTTATTCAGCTGTTCCTTACATTCTAAGATGTACCTTTCTGAAAATTTACTAATTTCCTGAATTTACAACTCAATCATTTTATAAATATACTAAAGTACCTTGCTATTTTAAATAATCTTTTTTTACACATGCAAATGATCTTTTTGTGACAAAAGAAATTATTTCCTGGTTTGGTGTATGTATCAGAAGTATCACATTTTAGATTTTCCTCAGGTAAGCCATTCCAGAAATCAAATATATGTGTACTGCAATAAGCAAAAATACATTAGTAATCCCCTAATGATATCCACAATTTTAAAACCATTTCATCAGAAGTAACCAATCTGATTATGACTCCTCATCCACACTCTTACTGGCTCACATACTTCTGCTGTGTGCTGGGGCTACAATGGTGAGCAACAGAAAAGTCCCCGCCTTCACACCTCCCAGAGCTCACAGTCTGGTGGTGCGCAAGACTGTAGTGTGCTGAGCAACAGAGTAAGAAGTGCTTCATCCTAGGTGCTTCCCATGATACTGAATGCTCGCTGAATCCTCCTTGTCCAGACCACAGTGGCATCCCAGAAGCAGACAAGAACAGTTTAGTGACTTAAGACCTTCAATATTTTCACAGTAAGTTACTCATGGTTATTACAGAAAATCAAAGCCTAAAGTACTCAAACTACCTAAGTGAAGGTCTTAAATTATTTTTTAATATTTATTTATTTATTTACTTTATTTTTGGCTGTGTTGGGTCTTAGTTGCAGCACATGGGATCTTTGTTGCAACATACGGGATCTTTCACTGTGGCACGAAGGCTCTTCATTGCAGTGCAGGGGCTTTTCTCTAGTTGTGGCACGCCGGCTCAGGTGTGGCGCATGGGCTCCAGAGCACGTGGGCTCTGTAATTGCGGCACATGCGCTATCTAGTCGTGGCTCACATGCTCAGTAGTTGCAGCATGCGGACTTAGTTGCCCCGCGGCATGTGGGATCTTAGTTCCCCAACCAGGGATCGAACCTGCATCCCCTGCACTGGAAGGCGGATTCTTAACCACTGGAACACCAGGGAAGTTCCAAAGGTCTTTAATTTTGAAGCTCCCAAATGGAACTTCTCTTCACTCTCACATACTTCTCATATGAAAGGGGGAAAATTTACTTAGGCATAGTTCAGAAAATTAAGTCAAAAGCTATTTCCTGAGCATTAATTATCCTTTTCCCAAACAACATAAACAAAGCTTAGTGAAAATCACGTCTGGAAAGTAGAGGGCCTGATTCTCCTCTTTCCTCTTTGGTTTTTTTGCTTCTCTTTTGTAGGTTCTTCTTCCTCCTTCTACCCTCAACACTCTGTAATCACTCCAAGAATCAGTCCTAACTCTGCTTCTTAGCCTCCTTTTTAGTATTAAGAAAGTCCATATCCATGCTAATACTGTTCAAGGCACTGTGCTAGGCATGTGGCGGGGGGGGCAGGGACCTTGACTTTGTGCATTTGCAAAGCATTTTATTGATATATCAGTGTTTCATGTTACTCTCTCAGCAACCTATGAATTAGGCAGAAGTGGTTATTATGAGTCCTCCTTTTACCCAACAAGGAAGAGATCCAGAAACTTGTGCAAGGTCACATGGCTATTCACTTTCAGATTGGAATGAGAACTCGGAGAGTCTGACTCCTGGTTCAGTGCTCTTTCTGTGGTACTCTACTGCATCCGTCCGTTCATCTGCAGTATTTTTAGCAATAGCTAACTTTACTTACTTCCACAACACCCTTCACTATTAAGTTTTATTTATTCTTTCTCTTACTCATTCAACAAATATCAGTGCCTACTCTGCTGCTAGGTACTGAAGCGCAGTGGTGAAAACACTGGGTCTGACTCCTACATCACATTATAAAAATATAATCACTTGCCAAATGCATTACCAAGTTCAACCACTTGGTATCCCACTATAAAGATTCGGTATTCCCACGTGTGTAATCTCACTTAAATGAGTTAACAATGCGTCCTCTGAAATGAAAACCAAAAACACAAATGTATTAGGATAACATGAG